GTTTTGTTATATGTATATTATGGCTCTTGATTATGGTATTGTGTTTGTGCAGCTCATTAAAAATGTAATGTATAATTAAAAATATAGGTTAATAGATAGCAATCCATAATTGTCAAATTTGTAGTCATGTTAGTTAGGTTTTCAAGATGTACAAAGATATATTTCAGATGGATAGGAATACTTTAGAACCTTCAAAGACTTACAGAATATGGTATTTAAAATATTTTAAGAACTTAGGACTTTTCATGACAATGAGACACATCCACTCCTGGCAGCACCGATCTACTTCAAGAGGATGATGGGCTTCAAAGAGACTCCTGATGGAATTGGTTAGCCATTTGGGCAAGAAACTGTTCTTGCCTGAACTGCTTGATGTTATGCTGTATGAACTGAACATTCAGGACCCACAGAAAAGTGACTGCTGAACTTGCTTAAAGGTGAATTGGTCCTTCAGGGTTCCTGCTTCATGAAAGAGTCTGCCAGACATTCTGCAGGACACAGAAAGTAACTGACAAACTGCCAATATAGGTAGAACTGTCTTTGAAATTTCCTATTTCATGATACTATTGCCCTGTAGGCTGAAGATGGATGCCCCAATGTTACAGAAGAACTTTGGGTGACTGTCCAGGTGACAAGATATCTTTATCAATTCTAGAGTTTTGAAAGTTGCTTACAATGCACTTCCTGTTAACTTAGGTAATGTTTTATCCTTCTGGAGTCTTTGCTGGAGTTGAAGAGTAGATAGTTATAGTTTTCCTTAGTTATGATAAAAGATAAAGTAGATATAAATGTTATAATTGTAATTCTTGCTTGATACCTGTCTTGTTATATGTAATTTTACTATGTTCAAGTTAAAATTTCCTTTGTATTTAGACAGAAAAGGAAAATGATGTAGGATTCCCCTCTGCATGCTATGAATGTGTTTTATTACCATTGGTTTTAAAGAAGCTGCTTTGGCCTATAGCAGGGCAAAATATAGCCAGCCTGGAAAAAATATAGAGAGAGAGCAGGCAGAGTCAAGAAGACTCCATGCAGCTGCCGAAGGAGACAGATGCCAGAAAATTACAAGTGAACCATGAGCCTTGTGGTAATTCACAGAATAATAGAAGTGGGTTAATTTAAGATGTAAGAGTTAGTTCATAAGAAGCTATTGACCAAACAGTATTGCAATTAATATAGTTTCTGTGTGATTATTTTAGGTATGGGTGGCCAGGAAATGAACAAGCAGCCTCCGCCTACTGGTCTAAAGTTATGGATAGCTTTGAACTCTTGAAAGTGTATGACCCTTTCTGTCCTATTAGAAGGTCAATGGCATGTGTGGCTGTTATCCAACCTGGCCCCTTATCAGGCCTAGAGATGAGGTCAGTTTTGGCACTGTGAGAGTGACGTAAGGCACCAAGTGGAGGAATTTGGACTTTTTCTGCTCTCAGGGGCTTGGTTACAACCTCGATGAGGCCCTTTTCCCAGTCTTTTATTTCATCCTGATTTTAGTGGGTCTTTGAATAAGACCTCTTCCATTCCGCACTGAGCTATCAGACTCCTTTGTCCTGCTGGGAATTCAGTTTGTGTGCAAACCTAGGCTAAGAGCTTAGCTCTGAACCAGGACCACGACATGCACATAGAGAGGGATGGAGTTCCCTGCAGGAGGGCAAGAGGCATGGGCTCAGGAACCTCACAGAAGCCAACCACAAAACCAGTCTGACCTAGGCCTGTCCTAGTGACTAGCTATGTGAAGAGGAAGTTGCTTAAGCATTCTCAACCTCAGGTTCCCTCTGGACAAGTGTCGTGGCTGGACAAATTGGTCAGGATTGCTGAGTGAGTGTCCAAGTCTGTGTTGTGATACTTGGAGTGTACGAAGCACCGTGCACAGGGTCCAATCTCCCCTCTGCAGCTCTGCTGTTTGGTCCACATGCTCCTCTCCTCCCTCCTCCCCCATCTTTGTCTGTGCCATATACGCCGCATATGAGCATGGAAGCCATTACAACCAAGGCACCACATTCTTTCTCTGTGGCGCTTAGGTGGGAATTCAGACTCCAAAGGAAGAATAATTTACAACCATCATCACCGTGTTGCCTTCCAGGTGTAAACTAATGCCAGACCTGAGAGCAGTTCATGACAACTGGTGAAACTTTCTAGCTTTGGGAGGTTTTGAAATTCCATCCAGCTAGTTCCTGAAAGCCAAATATTTTCTGTTCCACTAATTATTGTGCAGATTACCAATTCATTTGGGTCTTAATATTTCAATCCACTTTTTGTGGTATTTGCACAAGACCCGGTTCATTGTAGCATGATGTGTGTATGTGGAAGAAATGGATCTCTAGTTTTAAAAGCATTTTTATAGATTTGCAAGTCTCTGTTCTTTCTCTTAACTCTTATGAGCTTAAAATTTCCATCTCCTCCCATTTGAAGCAGGGCCTCATGGCTCAGGGCCTTAAACTCATTACATAGCTCACCGTGGACTATTGGTCTTGCAGCCTCCCCTTCTGAGAGCTGAGAATAGGTGAGTTCCCATATGCTTGGTGTAGGGGGTGTTGGAATGGATCCAGGGATCTGTGTGTGCTAGGCCACACTCTCCCAAGTAAGCCACATTACTAGGGCCTCTGGAATTTCCTGAGTTTATCATGTCAGAGACTGTCAGAAAGTTTCCACAAGGCAGAGACCACTTAATTTGTTTCTTGGTCCTCATTTCCCCTGTAGTCTTTAAAAATTGTGAAGCCAGTGTAAGTAGAATTCTGTGAATTTGCACTGACAATGTTAGCATGTCACCTATTAGGCTGGAAGGAATTATGGGTTCCATTGCAGAGGTTATATCTACAGGTTTTAAGGCAAATTCCCTCCAATATATTTAGCTTTTTCATGCACCGTGTCCTTTAAGACACCTGAAGTGGCTGCGCTGTGAACTTGTGACTTGAGCTCAGAGCCAGCCAGAGGGTTAGTGGTCAACACTGAGATTAAACTCTGCAGCAAGTACTGGCTTCAGACATCTTTCCACATCCCTTGTCCCCACTGTTCCCTGTTGCCTCTCAGAGCCCTCTCTCATCCAAAAGGTCCCGTGATGATTAACTCAGGACCCTGCATTCAGGGCTTGCTGTCCCAGCCCTGTGGTTCTTCTGCAGAGCTGTTCTGTCCTCTGAAGGGCTCCAGGGCTCTGGCCTCCCTTCCAGTTCCTCTGAGCTCCTGTCCTGGCCAGCAAGGGTTTCTTCTCCTATCATCCACCCCCTTAGTGTATGGAAATATGCTGATGTGCCTCACACTTGGGAAATACTTCCCTGCAATTCCCACTGAACTTGCGGTCTTTAGTAGTTAACTTACATCCCCATTCTTACCCATGGGGCCTCTGTGCTAGAGACTCAGTTTGCTTAATAAAGGAGGAAGCAAGCTGGATAAGCACAAGGGCACAATTTCTGTTCCATGTAAAATTGTTTTAATGCTCGTTAAATGTTTTTAATGGCTTTTAAAGTAATCATTCTAGTCGACTCTAGCACTTAAAACTCATTTTTCCAGATAAGTCCAGAAAGTTCAATTTTCTAAGCTCAATGTGCAGAATAATGTTAAGAATAGCAAATCATTAAAGATCTAATACACAGGAGCTCATAGAAACAGGCAGTTACATACATGTGTGAATAGTACTGTCTTTCTAGACAGTCTTGACACTGGACATTGTCCTTAAGGCCTCAGGTTATTTTCTGAGCTTGGGCATTCCAGGTACCTGAAGCGGGCAGGTGGACGTGTTCTAACGTTAAAGCAGCATTTGCCACAGGCATTGCCAGCTCCAGGGATGTGGTCTCTGAGCCTGCACCCTCACTGAGACCTGCGAAGCGTGTGGCTTCCCTCATTTCACAGACTGAAGCCAGCCTCTGCCTGTCCCTGCACCCCCACTGCACATCCACCCTCCGAGGGCAAACCTTTGTGGAAATGTTGGCTTCAGATCCTGGATCTAGTAAAGGGTGACTTAATCCCAAAATGCACCTCGTGCACAGCAAAGGCCTAGTCCTTTGACTTGCAAACACATTTAAGTTGCCACTTCCGTCATTTGTTTTTCACTGTTTCCAATAAGTTCTGTAATCAAGGTGATGTCACCCTCTGGTCCACTAAAATTGCAAGTCTCTTGATTTTGAAAGAGTCTCTCTCCTTCAAGTGAAAAAGCAGATAGGTGGGACCCTGCTGTTGGTAGGACATTGTCCTTATGAAGGTTACCCCAGGATGCTTACTTACCCCAGGCCATTTGAGCTACCCTGTCATATCCAGACACTCATGTGTCAGGAGCCTGGGCAAGGTCCAGAATCAGGGATCCGCACAGATGAGGGTCTAGCTTTGGACTTCTAGTGTCCTGTGAGAGTGTTCCAGGCTCGTGTGTGGACAGCATCCTGTTGTCCCTTGACAGCAAGCTTCTTGGAACACATGCTCTCCCACTCCATCACCCCCCATCTATGAGCCCTTTGTTCCCTTGCACTGTGAAAATCGCTCGGAAATTGTCAGCCTGCTGCCTTGCAGCATGATGGGGCTAGCTCAGAGTTCCTGTGCCCTTGGTGTCTGGTTCCTGGATTTACTGGCAAATAGGACCAAAAATACTAATTTTTATGGTCACTAATTTTCTGAGCATATGACAGAGTCCTCATTTTTCTTAAAGAAAAATACTGAAACTAGCTGTTTTCTGATTGTCGTGGACTGTCCTCCTGATGGGTGGGACTAGGACTTGGGCGGGAAGTTCAGAGCCGCCAGGGCGGTTTTCCTAGCAGAGGGACACTCCACTTAGCTCTCTGGAGCTCAGACTAGCAAAGCTGTACAGGCGAGGCTGTGCAAGTGTGAGTGTGTGTGTGTGTGTGTGTGTGTGTGTACACACACCGTGGGGTGCCTGTGTTTGTGGAGTGTGGGAGGACTCATTTGAGAAGATGAAGTCATACAGTAAGGGTCTGACCATCTCCAGCCTTTGTGGTCTTCTCTTCCAGCTGACACATCCCATCCGCCTGCTCCTAGAATACACGGACTCAAGCTATGAGGAGAAGAGATACGTCATGGGGGACGGTAATAACACCTTTCTGGTCAGTCTCCTGCTTCCTTCCCTCTTGCCCAGTGATGCTCAGCAGTCCATGCCTAGCCCCTTAGTCCACAGGCCTGCAGCCCTCCTACACACAGTTGCAGCTACAGCCTGCTTCTTCCAGAAACCTCTTGAGGGTGGAATTTGGTTTTATGAACATTGGGAATGACCTGGAGTGATGGAGCTCGCCTTTAATTTCAGCACTAGGGAGGCAGAAGCATGTGGATCTCTGTGTCGTCAAGGTAAGTCAGGTCTACAGAGTGACCGAGTTCCAGGACAGCCAGAGTTATGTAGTTGATAGACCTTGTCTCAAACAACAAGAAGGAAAACAAAAACACTGAAGATGAAGGTCCTGATCCACTGGGTTCACTACTGGGGTCCTATTGGGTCCAGGCTCCCCTTATCACCAGTTGTTTACACCCCTCTTTTCCTGCTTTGATGGTGACTTAGTCTGAGAGGTTACAGATCCCTCAGAGTTTCTTGCTCTCTTGCTCCTGACACCTTGGGTGGGTGGGTGCTGGAGGAAGCGTTAGACCCTGGGCTGACTTCTTTCCACATCCTCTTGTTTACAGCTCCCAACTTTGACAGAAGCCAGTGGCTGAGTGAGAAGTTCAATCTGGGACTGGACATTCCCAATGTAGGTACAGGGAAGGGGAGATTTGGGGGAGCTGTGGTGTCCCTGCCTCAGCTCCTTGATTGCCTGAGGACATTTGAGATCCATGTGTCAGCTCTCCTGCTCCCATTCCAGGGTTCCACAGAGTTTTTGTGATGTTCTGTGTCCTGGCTCTTCCATTCAGTGTGCGTCGAGCTCTCACGGAGGGTTTCCCATGCCAGACACACTGAGTATCAGGCACCATGTCTTTCCTCACCCAGGAAGGGGATTTAGGGTCCTCATATCCCATCTGACTGTCCCTTATTGCTCTTCCAGCTGCCCTACTTAATTGATGGCCCCCACAAGATCACCCAGAGCAACGCCATCCTGCGCTACCTTGCCCGCAAGCACAACCTGTGTGAGTGGGGCTGGCTGCAGGGTGGGGCATGGGGGACAACCTCCTTGTCTTGTCTGGTGAGGGATGCTGATGGTGAATGTCCTGTGTGTGCTGCAGGTGGGGAGACAGAGCAGGAGAGGATTCGTGTGGACACTTTGGAGAACCAGGTCATGGACACCCGCATCCATCTCATGATAGTCTGCTGCAACCCTGACTTTGTGAGTTGCCCCTGGTGGAGCGGGCAGGGTTGGCAGCAGGACTGAAAGGCTTGCATTCAGATCTGCAGCCTCCTCCTTCAGTTAGTGAGTCTCTAAGCTCTCCTCTCTTACCAGCAGAGTGACCCTCATAACCCAGCGAGATAGCACAATGACACTGTGAAACTATCACTATCAGAGTAACTTGTAAGATATGGTTGAGATTCTAGAGTAAACTTTCTGAGCCTAGACATTTACTGTGTCGTGAAAATCCCTGATATTTCTCTCGTTTGATGTTGTTTGACTTCTTCCACGTATCATCTAACCTAGTGTTCCCACTAACAATTCCTCTCAAAACACAGACTCAGAGGATAAAAATAAGGGCTAGGGAGGTGGCTCGGAGGGTCAAAGTCTTCAATGTGTAAGTCTGAGGACTTGATAATGAATCTCCAGTACCCACATTAAAAACAAGTAGACCCTGGCCGGGTGGTGGTGCACACACCTTTAGTCCCAGCACTCAGGAGGCAAAGGCAGGCGGATCTCTGTGAGTTCGAGGCCAGCCTGGTCTACAAGAACTGGTTCCAGGATACACACACACACACACACACACACACACACACACCTCCTACAAACATGTGCAATGGTTTCCCACATATACCTAGTACTTTCCAGGAGTTCTGTCTTTGGCATCAGTCATGGTCAGAACATCCTCCCAGGAGGCAGCTCAGGGCCAGTCAGAGGACCTTTGCTGTTCTTCTTGCCAATATTAGTGACTGATCAAATCTGGTGCGTGCTCTGCAAATGTATGATCTGCTCTCATGCGCCCCCACAAGTCCAGGTATAACCGTCCTCTCCCGGGATCTATAAATCCTTTGTTCCCGTGACTCCACTGGATCTCTTGGACCACAGCATCCACGATACTTAGGAAGTCCCGGATGTGACTCCTGCCCCTGGGTACCAGTGGGGACAGAGTGAGGGACAGCGGAGCATTCCTGTCTGTCTTCCCATCACCGCTAACAGATGACCTCTGCTACTAATAAAATGGGAATGATACTCAAAGCCTAGGTCTTCAAGGCCAGCAGCCTCCCTGCTGGGAGCCTGAGCCTAAGGGTGGTGACAGCCATTTTCTGTCTCAGGAGAAGCAGAAGCCAGAGTTTTTGAAGGCCATCCCCGACAAGATGAAAATTTACTCTGAGTTCCTGGGCAAGCGGCCATGGTTTGCAGGGGACAAGGTAAAGAGAGGGAGGTGGAAAGAGGAGCTGCCATTCTTCCCAGATTGTCAGATGCCGGCCACTCACCCTCAGCTTCCTGCAGATCACCTATGTGGATTTCCTCGCCTATGATATTCGTGACCAGTACTGCTTATTTGAGCCCACGTGCCTGGATGCCTTCCCAAACCTCAAGGACTTCTTGGCCCGCTTTGAGGTGATGCCCTTTTCCTGCTTCCTTTCCTCCTTCCTCTTTTCCTCAATGCTTTTCTCATCTGAGACTAAAGGAAAGCAAGTAGGAGGTTTTTTTTTGGGGGGGGGGCTTTCTTTACAGACCCTTATGGGGCAAAATTTACCATTTCAAAATCCCCAAAGGTGTTGGTGGGGGGACATGAAAATGCCACAATCCTGGGACAGTAGAGAGCTGTAGAACCCAGACTGTGAGATGAATGTGATACTCCCCATAGCTGCTGAGCCTGGTCTGGAATGTACCGGACTTCAGTCTCGAGTTGTCTACAATGGGGAGTCTGAGGTCTTGATCCAAGGGTTTTTCCTCCCTGCAATCTGTTGACCTGGTTCATTTTCCACCAAGAAAGGTTGCGCTTTCCCACCCGATTCTAATCTGCTTTGTTCTGGCCCAGGCTGAGTGCCCTAGGGGAATGTCCAATCGCTGGCATGGCTCTAGGGTGGATGTGGAGAAACACAGTGCCCCTTAGCCCAGGTTGTGTCTAGTTGGCCATGGATCTTTCACACCCTTTACAATTGTCTGTGTATTCTCCAGCTTGGTGTTAATGCCTTATAGCACAACATACAGTCACATGAAGTGGTTCCTGTGCTGTGAGTACAGATGAGGGCAGCCAGGATGCAGCGAGATTGTCCTTAGGAACCAGCTGAAGAATTGTCAACGCTGCTCTCGGGAAATCATTTAGAATGAAACTCAGCCTTTCTTTGCTGGCTGTTCTCTTGATGTCCCCTTTCATTCAGGATTTGCCAAGTGCCTGGGTTCCACTTATCTTCCTGGTATTTTCTTCCTGTTGCATCCCTCCTGCGTGTGTCAGCGTGTGTCAATACAATCTGGAATGTCTGTTGGGGGCGTGGGGAGGTCGCGCGGGAGACTGGCAGCCGCAGAGTCAGGCTGACTCCAGCCCTGTCTTGGTCACTACCTTGCGAGAAGGGGAAGTTGGTTAACCTCACTGGACCTCTGATTGCTGGTCATGGTGTTTTCTGAGCCTGTGTTGTAGCCTTTAGTGGGTATAAAGCACCTTCCTGGGGGTCTAGTCTTTCTTGTATTATAGGAATTGAAGAGTTCTCTTGCCAGGGCTGGGAGCTAAACTGGCTGTGCTCTGCTCCAGGGCTTGAGCTTTTGAGAAATGAGCTTTTGAACCTAGTGAGGCTGCAGACCTGAGCTCCTGCTGTGCTTTCTTCCCAATTTGCAGGGCCTGAAGAAGATCTCTGCCTACATGAAGAGTAGCCGCTTCCTCCCAAGACCTGTGTTTACTAAGATGGCCCAGTGGGGTACCGATTAGGTCCCTGCCAGCCCCTACCATGCTGGCACCCACAGGGAGGATCTGTCCACACTGGAATCCTCCAGGCCCTGGGACAGCTGGCCTTCTGTACCGCTGCCTCACTGTTCCCATTTCTTTCTCCTTTCCACAAGACTTTGTCAGCCCCCTGCTTCCTAATCAGGCCTGTCCTAGTCAAGTCCCTGTGGTTGACATTCTTCCTGCTTCTTTCCACCAAGGCCCCTTCTTTATTTGTTTCCCAACTGACCACACAGTCCTCTTCTGTGATTTGATGTCTGCCCTTAACACAGTTCCCTAGAAATACCCTACAGGTCAATACTGTTTCAAGTTCCCCAGTGGCAGGGCTCCCCCAGGCCTGTCTCATCTCCAATAAAGCCTGAAACACACTGCTCTGTGTTGTGTTTTTTTCTTTTTGGACTTGCCAAGTGTCACAGCTGCTTCCAAGAGTCTGAGCTCTGAGCCTGTAGTGCCCGGTTCTGAGGAGTCTAATGAGACTGGAGGAAATTTGAAACATCTTGCTTCTACTTCAAGACCCTCACAGCGGGGACAAAGCTCTCTAGAGGACAGAGTATGTTTGTCTGGACTCTAGTTCACTGCGACGTGTACTGGGACTCTGACCTGTGAAAATGAGTGAATGGGTCTTAATGAATAATGATGTGGCAGGTGGGAGTGGCCAGGAGGGATTTTGGATGGTCTCTCTACCTTCACATCCATGGCTGTGTCAATATTGGGTTTCTAGGATATTGCTTTTACTGGGTCTTTGATGTCCTCTTCTGTCTTGCAGCTCCATTGGCATGGGGACTTTCATTCTTGGTTACCCTTCCTATTTCTGGAAAGGGGATTGAATTGACCCTTATTCTCCATAATTTATTGTCAGTAAATCTCCTGGTCAGTGAGGTTTCCTGTGTCTCTATTTAACTTTGTGTTATTCAGACAGTTCTTGGAGAACTGTGATGAGTCTGTGACCATCAAACCCTTGTTTTCTGCAGACCTAATGCGATTGGCCACTGTTGCATTCAGGGTTTTACTACAATGGAATGGTTGATTCCTAAGGCCTGCATGGCTCTAGGATAGACCTGACTGGGGCAACTGGAAATGAAGAAAGACTGAAACAAGTCCAGAAGGAACCGGGATGGGTAGGCCATGTGCTCCGATGGAGATGCAATAACCACCCAGAAATTCAGCGTGTACAGCTGAACAAGAAGGTGGGTTTATAATTTACAGATGATCTAGGACGCTTGCCAGCTAACCTCTCTAATGTCTGGAGAGGAGCAGTCTCCATCCAACACAGTCACCCTGGAGGAAGAAGCTGTAGTTGGAACTTCTGCACATACTGGCAGTATCTATTGTTGGGCCACCAGAAAGCCTTGTCTTCTGAGCCTGACCTGGCGAAGGCCTTGTCGTCCTCATGGGTCTGAGGCATTGTGGTTCTTGATATAGATATGTCCATATGAGCAATATACATTCACTCAGACTTCATCTGCTCTTTGAAGTTGATATTTTGTGTCAAATAGTCAAATAAACTGCTCTGAGAGCTCCCAGGAAGTGTGTAAAATGTATGCTGGTGTGGCCTTGGTGCTATTTCTAGGAGTGATGCACTTTTGCCTCAGTAGACTGAATAAGGAGGATCACTCTCATTTCTGGGGTTAGGTACCACTCAAGGGCACAGGGCTTAGTGGAATCAAAGCTGGGTGATGTGTGAGTTCATTCTGTCACACCCAGGCATCCCTGACCTGGTCATGTGCATTCTTTTCTCAGGCTCTGTCTGGTACTTTCCTAGTGCTTCTTGTCCAGTCAAGACCAATTCCACCATGGGCTTTGTGGGGTCTCCTGCAGTCAGTGGAAACTGGGAGGCAAACTACAGGAGCCCCTTTCCATTAGAACTAATATACGCAGATTCACAGAACCCACAATAGCATGCCTGCACCTTCTATTGATCCCATCTCATGGGTCCTGGCTGAGCTTGGAGGGCAAGGGCCGAAGTATTGGCACTCCTTATAGATCCTCTCACCCTTATTTGTGGAGAATTCCAAGTTTTTTTGGTGAACACCCAGAAGGGCAGCCTTGCCAATCTTGTAGTTTTAACTTATAAGTAACAGTTTGATCAGGTTTAGAAAAAAAAAAAAAAAAACAAACCAAAATCTTGATTTTTGTTAAGATTCTGTTTCTCTGGTTATATTAATGAAACAATGTGTAGTAGGACCAAGAGACCAATATCCTAGGAGAACTCTGTTGACTTAAAGATAATTTTGATAATAGTGTATTGAACTTTGACCATAGTAGTTAATAACTTTTAGGCACAAACACACATCATCCACAGGTCCTGAATAATATATTCAGGCTGTGTACAACTTTACTTAAAGTTTAAAAAAAATAGTCTTCAACTTTTCTCTTTTACTTTTAGTACAAAAATCTTGTTTTAGTATACAAAATCCACCCTTGTTACAGATTTTTACCCTCTTACCAAAAATATATTTATTTTTATATTTATATCCTTTTCAACTTCTCTCTATTTTGTAATAAGAGTTTAATTCAAATTACATATGAGGCACAGTGTAGTAAATTAAGATTATCTGTACATGTATAGTAAAATTTCTAAGCTTTGTTCCTCCTGCAAGTCTTGGGAACTTCTCATTGAAAGACCCCTATCTAGCAACATTAAGTTAGCAGCAGCAATAACAAGCCCAGCCGCCACCCCGCCCCCCCCCAGCTCCAAGAGTAACTTATAGATTTGTGGGACTCCCAAGCACCTCATTCCTTGGAGTGTAGGTTAAGCCAGACTAAATCACATGGTGTGGAACCTACTGCAGGTCCCTCCAAACCTGTGAAAATAGGGAGATGTTCTTTGTTCATAGTGAAAGACCCTCTGGACATTCCCCCCACCAGAACCCGCAGCTGGCCTGCTCCCATGAGAACATCCTGTTCGCTTGAGACCCTCAGGACCCTCTCAGGACCTGCAGCTAGCCGGCTCTCATGAGAACATCCTGTTTGCTTAGGGAAACAGGATGCCTATAGTCAGCACATGTGCCCAACTTAGAATATCAGCAATTCACAAAAGAAACAATTCCCCCTATGAAAGATCCCAGCTTAGCTGCTGTAACGTCATTTCACAAAGCTTTTGATGAACAAATGTAAGTGCAGAGTGAGGTCAGGGTCCCTGGCTGCAAAGCAGGATATCTACATCTATAGAATAGGACAGGACATCAATTAACAGGAAATCTGTTGCCATACATCTGTGCTGGGAAAGGAAAAACCAAAAGAGGAACAGGATATCTGTTCCCATACATCTGTGCTGGGAAAGAAAAAAACCACCTATGCCCCTTGCCCCATTCCAACTGACCACTAACCACGCATTTGCTTCTGTAATCTGCTTCTGCTGCCCTCTTTCCTATAAAAAGACCTTCCCCCAGTCTGCAGGCGCGCTAGTCCTCCGAGCGACTAAGACACCCCAGGTACCTGTGTATCTGAATAAACCTCTTGCTGATTGCATCCACATGAGTGGTCTCGCTGTTCCTTGGGAGGGTCCCCCAGACTGAAAGGCAGCCCACCTCAGGGGTCTTTCACTCATCATTTGGATTTTAATATCTTTTCCCCCTATGGTCTCACAGATTCTGAAAGTAAGAGCAAGTTTTATATTCCATGAAAGGTCTGCAAAGTTATCAGTGACCTTGAGCACTGAACGTTCCCAGTAAACAAGAAAAAGGAGAAGAGAAAGTCCACAGAGATTCAAATAACCTTAAGTATTAACCATCTAATTGCAGCATTAAGTACAAAAGATGTGTATTCATTATCCATTATGTCAGTCAAGTTCCTTTAGATACGGCAAAGACAACTACAGACCAAGTTACCTGCCCTCCATCACTTGGTTGTGAACCTTCAAATCAGTTCTTTGCATTTAAGTCAGAACACCAGCACAAGGGACAGTGTTCTTTGGTGTCAGGCAGTTAGACTAATACTAGGAGACTTTGAAGCCATCTGAAGACAAACTGAATTGTCATATATGATCAGCTCCCTGCCTTTCTGTTTCTCTGTAAGAAAGGATAACATCAAGACTGCAGATTTCAAATACCAAATGAGGAGATGGAAGACAAAGGTATCAGGGCTTTGCCAAGACACATTAAGGGAAGGTATTTCTTCCTGGTCAGTTGTAGAATCTGAGTTCTACATCTGGCCCTGGGTACAGGCATGACATTCTAAAATGTTCAAAATAGAAGATTACAAATATATACTATTGTCTCCTCCCTTAAAAGTTATCCAAATAGACTTGTCAATGATCTGGCCAGGAGATCACATCCTCAAGAAAGCTGATATACCTGAAGGCATGTCAAGAGATGGGAGGAATAATTATTCCATGAATGAGATAGCATATTTATATATCCCAAAGTGCCTCCCTTAAAGCAGTTGCTTATAAATTAGAACTCTCAGCTACTGTGTCTGCCTGTGTGCCGCCATGCTCCCTGCTATGAGGAGAACAGACTAAACCTTTGAAACTGTAAGCAAGCCATATATATATATATATACATATCTGTATGTATATATAGTTGCCATGGTCATGGTGTCTCTGCACAGCAATAGGACAATGACAAAGACAAATACTAAAAGCCCGAGCAAGGGGACTTTGGCTCTTGAGGAACACTGGCAGGATATTGTATTTGAATTTTAACCTCAAGTCTCAGGTCCCACAGTGGCATGAAGAGCAATTAAGCCACCCTCTTGTAGGGCCCTGGTCTCCCTTATTCCTGGGGTGCATTCGCGGGGACAGTTTATGATCAGCTAACTAAGCTTCCTGTGTGTTTCTGTGCTCTCCCTAGCCCCGCCTGGTGGTTAGCTGCAGGGCATTTACTCCATTGTTAATATGGTAATTTCCCACCTGCCTGGGAGGAGATCCTTGTGCAGCAGTTAGGTACAAAAGGATTTCCCCAGGTCTGAATAAATGGCCTCCGGCTGATCTCCTTTCGAATGACCCTGGTCTCTATGTGTGTTCTTTCAATCTCCAGGCCCTT